CAAATCTAAGATTTTGTTCAATATTAAATTTATTTATTATCACTTAATTGCGTTGTTATATCCCAATTTATATTTATTCAATTTTTTTTGGTAGGTGAGTGTCCTCCATTTTCAACAATGTCACGCACAATTAAATCTATTTTAATGTATGTAAAATGTCGATATATAAATCTATTTTAAGAGACAATCGATCCTTAAAAAAACAATTTATTTTTTTTTAGCGAATCATCTGCTGTATGATGATGAGGGTGTTCATGAGACACACGAGACTATGGGGTTCCACTGATCTCCGGATGTCGCTACAGATTAGTTTAACCAGAGGGTCCAGGGGGTGTCCGAGCGCCCTAGGGATTCACACTCACACGTGTGAGTTTGTGTAGGGAAGTACTACACATCCAATTTGTCCGAGACTGGAGGTCACCCCTATGATGTTAGAGATAGGTCCCTAAATCATGATTGCATGTGTTCTTACGGAGTATTCTTCGAAATTCTCAAGCCATGTGCCATATCATTTTTCAGGTAAAGGCAGGGTGCACTTGTATTAAGGATGGTGGCATTGCGAGCAGAGGCTGTGGCACGTGCATAGGGTAGACTCATATTTAAATTTCTAGTCTTAAGTTAGAGTAGGTGGTTGTGCATTTCATTATTTTAAATTATTTTGTATTTGTTTTTATTTTCTCTAAATTTCAGTATTTCGTATTTAAACACATAAGACTGTGACTGTGTTTTCCAGAGAAGAAGTTGCTTTAAGTGTTTTCGAAGTTTATGTTATAAATGTTCATTTTAAGAGTTATATTTCTGCATTAGAGATGAGCATGAGACGTTAGTAGCGACTCTTAATATGTGAAAATTTAGGGTCATTACATTTATGATCAAATTTGTAAATAAAATGAATTATTTGTCCTCTTACAAAAATTAAATTTTTAGATATTTTATTGAATGGTTGTATACTGTGAATGTAGATAATTTAATTATATGAATGCAATAGAGAAAAGTTTATAGGTGGTAATTGTTTTAACTTTTTAAATGATAGCATCACAACTTTTAGTTCAAAGGAGTCTTGAGTCCATTACACAATAAAAGTTTATAGGTGATAAAAATTTAAATGTCAAAATATCCATGCAACAATTAACTTTTTAATTTTTTTTGGAACAATAAAAAAATAGAGAGTTGGATTGTGAAAATTGTTGGGTTGGGTTGGATTACGAATCCAACCAACTCAAATTTTTTGGGTTGGTCCAAAAAATTCCCTCAATCCAACCCAACTTAGACTATGTACTTGAGTTGAGGTTGAGTGACATAAAAATTCATTTAGTGATGTTATAGCAAATACTCAAGAAACTTATGAAACTATTGCTGAGGAACCAAAGCTGGAGCAAGTGATACCTGAGCAAGTGTTGAAAAGATCATCCAGAACTATGAGAGTACTATATAGGTATGTACCTTCGTTACATTATCTGACTGGTGAAAGGGAACTAGAGTTCTTTGATGATGTTCTGTAGTTGTAGGATACAACCAAGTAGGAGCAAGTGATCGATAATAAGATGAGTTGGATGTCTAAGCTTCAGAATTATGTTGCTTTTTCAACAGAGGTTGAGTACGTGGCAATAGTTGAAGTTGAATAAGAGATAATATGGGTGACATACTTTCTAGAAGTATTAAGCAAGAAGCAATGCGAGAAAATTCTTTATACAGATAATCAGAGTGCTATACATTTGGTGAAGTACCTAGTCTATAATTTAAAGACAAAACACATTAGAAGATGATAACATTTCACTTGTAGGTTAATGGAAGAAGGTGATATGTAGTTAGAGAAGATAAAAGGTGTAAGGAATGCAGCAAATATGATGATAAAATGTGTTTATGTTGGAAAATTGAGGTTGTGCAAAACCTTAGTTGGTCTGGTGTAGTGAAGATATTGATGGCTGTTTAAGAATGAAATTATTGGTTGATTGGATCGGTCTACAAGTGAGAGAAGTGTTAGGTTATAGAGTCAGCTGCTTATTTAGAACTTATTCAATGATGATAAAGAGTAAAGCTATATATGGTACATGACATATAAATGATAGTATATAGTAAACAACTATGTATAGTAAACGCTATATCTAGTAATGCTATATATGGTAGAGAGGTTGAGACTATGGATATACATATACCTCTTTGGTATTGCTTAAAAAATGTACTCTATGCATTATGTTTTATTTATATACTTGGAATCATCACTATAAACCTCTCCCCAATATTGTTCCTTGAATTTTTCTCTCTTTTGTTATTTGGGCTCATCTAAATCGAGTGTATGTTGTTGTGTACGAGTTGATTCAAACTGTATCTGGGATATTGGAGGAAACTATGTACGAATTGATTCAAGCCAAGAGACATAAGATTCAAACTGTGTCAAGGCTACGCAAGTAGCTTGAGCTGCTGGAGATGTGTCTTGCTTCTGCGTCTAGGCATGGGATGTGCTTAGGCTTGGGCTTTGCTTAGACCCAAGATTTGATCTCTTGACAATTTCAGAAGTAACGAACTATGACACTATTTTCTGTGAAGTCGAGTTCATGGTAGCCGTTGTGGTATCCTGCCAAGCATTGTGGTTGAGAAATTTGTTGAGAGAAGTGACTGGAAGTGAATTAAAGCCAGTAAGTTTCTACGTCGACGAAAAATTTGCGATTGCATTGATGAAAAAATTGATATTTCACGAACAAAACAAAAATATTGACACTCACTTCCAATTCATCCTTGAATGTGTCGAGAAGAGACAAATTGTTGTGGAGTTCATATGCACTAGTGAGAAAAGCGTGCAAATATTCTCACCAAGGCTCTAGCAAAGGTTGAAGAGATGTAGGAGTTGCTGGTTGTGAAGAATCTCAAATCCAAGTCCTAATGAAATCAAGATAACCATGTGTTCCGGCATAAATAGTCATTATCTGTTATTCTACCCTTGTGAGAGGGGTTGATTGGGAGATTTTGGGTTGATGGGGAGATTTTGAATCAATAAACTTGACTTAGACTTAGTAGAAGAAGTTACTACCTTGGAGCAATTTTAGGAAAATTGTTAGTAGTTGAGGCGTGGACTAAGTTTGATTTACTTAAAGAAGATTGTTATTAGTTTTTGACTTGAGGAGAAAGTTTAGGAAACATGTTAGTACTTTCTCCACCATAAATACGATGTACGCTCTATTCACAAAAATGAAGAGAAATGAAAATCATAAGTGCTTCAATTCTTTAGTTCAAAGGATCTTTACTCACAAGTATATTTGTTTTGGTATATTTCGATTGTGGGTCATATCCAACATTAGCCTTGGTCAAATGGTAGAAGGTAGAAGAGTATAGTTAGTCAACTCGTTCCTCAAGATACTCAACAAAAATGTAACCATGTTGATGAAGATAAAATGGTCGTGAAACCGCTTGTATAAAATACTAATGAAAGACCATCAACATCTTCCAGAAGTATTCACTTGTATGGAAGGCAATAATGCATAGAAGAAACCAGTGAGTCAGGAGAATAAGAAATCGAAGAACATAGCTGAAAAAATTAGAGGTTATTTCGATTAGAAAAGAGCAACCTACAAGTCAGTGTGCTTCATCCAACTTATCATCTCAACCATGGAGGTCTAAAGGAGACAAAATAAGAATAAGAAGAAGGAGGATCCAATAATAATAGAGGTGACATTTACCAATTTGTTCCGACCCTTTCTATTGAACATCCGTGTGGTCCTTCCAACTTGCTTGAGATTGATGGTGTCCCAAAAAATTCTAAAAAACTTGTACAATTAGAGTGCATATTTGAAAGATAGAGGAGTACCTTACAAGATGATTAAATTCCTATACATTAAAGAGTGGAGAAGGAATTGCATGTTGCAAAATTAAATTTCTTTTATGAAGAAGACGAAGTTGATCAAAGACCAAGAACCGTTGACACTACAGAGCAACATGATATATTCTCACCAAAATCCTAGCAAAGGTTAAACTTTAAAGACATGCAAGAGTTGCTTAGAGTGACAAAGCTCAAGCAAAGTCAAACTTACGAGAAGGATGCGAGTCAATAAAGTTGACCTAATAAAAATAGTTACTAATTGGATAAGTTAAGGAAAATGGTGATAAGTTAAGTAAAATGGGTAGGGGTTTATTTAAGAGAATTTAGTTGCAAAAGTGGGTAGCAAAGTTTAGGAAATGGTCCGTAATTTATTTAGAATAATTTAGTGTTTTCTTCCACGTGAATACTCCTACGAACAACAAAGTGAATTGAAAAACTTGTGGTTAAGGTTTTCAGTTCAAATGATTTCTCTCTTCAAATTGTTCCTTCTACTTTATTTATTTATTTCGGTATATTTCGTTCTTGGATCATATCAAATATTAGCCTTTGTCAAAAGATAGAAGAAGGAAAAAGAGTGTAGTTAGTCGTAGAAGAAGGAAAAAGAGTGTAGTTAGTCGACTTGTTCCTCAAGATACTCAAAAGAATCGTAGCTCTGTTGATGAAGGTAAAATGTTTGTGAAACTGCCTGTATAAAATATTAAGGAAAGACTATCAACATCTTCTAGAAGTCTCCATTGGCATTGAAGGCAAGAATGCGAAGTAGAAACCAGTGAGTTAGGAGAAGAAGGACTCGAAGAACATAGCTAAAAAAAATTGGAGGTTACTTCGATAAGCAAAGAGCAACATACAAGTCAATTTGCTTCATCAAACTTATCATCTCAACTAAGGAGACCTAGAGGTAGACTATAAAAGAAACAAGAATCCAATAATAACAGAGATCACAATTACCCATTTTTTTCAGGCCCTTTCTATTGAACATCCAAGTGGTTCATCGAACTTGTTCGAGACTGATGTTGTCCCAAAAATTTCTAAAGAACTTGTCTTAAAGCAATTTGGATCTTAGGCACTCTAAGTACATCAATTATAGTAAATTAGTTAGCATGTTCAAAATCATTAAAACTCAATGAGTTTGAATACTAACATTTTGTTGCTCAAGTTTCTTTTTCCTCACGAACCGGTTTCGAACCACTACTAATATCTTCTCCACTATTCTCCGGCCTTAGAACGAGATTGTGGAATCCAGCGAGTGACTAAACTTGGGAGGGATTTAGTATCTATGAAGAGAGAGTTTGTAAGAGGTTTTTCTCGTTTTTTTTTTTTCAAAGGAAGACCTTCCATGTACCATGATCACTCTATTTATAGAGTCATGTTTGCATGTTCATGCAAATTTGAGATCACCAAATTTTGACACTCAACATTCCACTCAAATATTTGGGATTATGTGGCAAGCATGAAAGTTTGAGTTCACAAAAATTTTGACACTCAAAATTCCACTAAAATTTATGGGGTTTATTTGGCAAGCATACAAGTTTGGTTAAACCAAATTTTGACACCTCAAAATTCCACGGACTCAAACATGATTTTTTCATTAAATGAAGTTAGCATTTTGACTTTTTCCATTTTGATTGAACAATTCATTTGAATAATTAATTTTAAATTAAAGTAATATTAAATGATTAATTAACTATTTAATTAATATTTAATATTAATTCAAATGCCAATCCCAATCAAATCCAACACATATTTGATTAAGATATTTAAATCTTATTTAAATATCTCAGATTCTCTCTTTTTGTTTAATTCGTAAATAAAACAAAAATGCGGTTAAATATATCGTATATATGTAGCGCATATTCCCTAATTTGAATTCGAACACTTCGAACTCACTCGTCACACTGTTCTATGGTTTAGTCTGATATGAGCTAGTAGAGGGACCTAATGGACCTATAGATCATGGGCTCCAACGATCCAAGATTAACCGGTTAAACTCATTAACCTTGTTAACTAACATTCGTTAACTACTAGGACACTCCACTGTAGCTTAGTAGTTGCACTCCCCTCACTATAGATATATTTCTGTCCATTTGATATAACCATGATTAGTAAGTCGATCCTTCATAGGTTGTTCGTAACTAGAGCTGGGTCAATTTACCGTTTTACCCCTAAAGTTACTTCTTGTTCCTTATGTCTCACTGATCCTCTAATGAACAATTGGTTTGTGGTCCAACCAGTCAACCGAATCCCTCTCAGGCCAATGAGAGGGTGGGCCCCTTGTTCAAGACTTGGAGTCAGTGCTTAAGGGAACTACCTCTCTTCTATCCCTAAAAGTGGGTAGGAGTGAATTCTATCTTGCACCCCACGTCCCCAGCCATTCACCCAGTCTTACCCCTGAAATGGGAGGCCTATTGAGTCAGCGAACTCGAGTCACTCTCACCCATGCAAATCTAAGGATAATTCCGAATAAACAAGAGTTCATGGTTAGCTCAGGATTAAAATCCAGTTACCTAGGTCATCGAATGAAAAGAAAATCAGTCTCAACAGTAAACGACATTATAAAGTGAGAGTGATTTTCTTCATGGTCCGATCTTATGCAATACTCATTGCATAGGACACCCCCACTCACATGTCTCCACATGTACAATTTAGTGATCACATTGTTTATGTCATATACAAAAGTGGGTTGCATCCATATTATCCCCAGGATAAGGTACTCAGCCTTATCCTCATACTATAGATCATTTTGACTATATACTTGAACTTGATCCACTCTTATGTCTCTACATATAATTCAAGTAATCATACTATAGTCAAAGTGTTCTTAGTTTATTGGATTTAGATTAATAATCGTAAAGTTCACTATATTCAATAACAATCTTTACCGAATAAACAACAATAATAACTTTATTGAAAATAGAATATGTTTTTGTTTACAAACTATAAGTTTTAGGACATAAAACCCAACACTTACGAGATGATGAAGTTTTGAGGCATAAAAGAGGAGCGGAAGAAATTTCATGTTGCAAAATTAAAATTTCTTATGAAGAAGACAAAAGTGATCAGGGACCAAGCAACGTTGAAACTACAGAGCAACGTGCATATATTCTCACCAAGGCCCTAACAAAGGTTAAACTTTGAAGACGTGTGAGAGTTGCTCGGAGTAACGAAGCTCAAGCAAAGTCAAGCTTATGGGGAAGAATGTGAGTCAATAAGGTTCTTAGTAAAAAATAGATATTAACTTGCAAATTTAAAAAAAATAGTTAGTGATTTATCGTGGATAAGTTTAGGAAAATGATTATTGATTTATTTCCGATAATTTTTAGTGGTTTTTAACTTAGGACATTAAATTTGAAAAACATCAAAAACATCGTATGTATGCTCTATTCACACCAACAAAGAGAATTGAAAAACATAAGTGATTAAGGTTCTTCCGTTCAAAGGATATCTCCCCTCAAGTTGTTCTTTCTACTTCATTTATTTTTTTCGGTATATTTCGATTGTGGACCATCCAATATTAGTGATACCAAAATAAGGTGTCTTAATCTTGCAATGAATGACTTAGATTTAAGAAGGTTTTATTGTATTTTTTTTTTAAGTTTTAGAGAATTGTCTTTAATTATAAGTTACAATTTAGCGGGTTGTAATTATGGTATTGATAGTCATGAAAGTTACCACCTCTTAATTCACTCTAAATTCACTCTAGGTAATAATAAGGTTTATTTTCAAGACTATAAATAGTCGTTACTACTTCACCTCACATTTTGGAATTAAAAAGAATAAAATTTCTATTTTAGCTTGAGCTAGACTTTTAGCTTGGATGATCCAAATATCTAGAATTGTTCTCCCATAACCTCCAAGCAACTCTTGAAGGGATATTAACCAGAATCGGACTCCAAACAAACAAAACCGAGGTGGAAAGGGTTTTCCCTTCTTCCCTCTCTCAAGCCTCTCTCCCCTTCCTTTCTTTTTTTTCTTTTTCTTCTCCATTAGGCTATGTTCAGACCCCTTAATTAGTAAGGAGGCGAAAATGACCATTTTAGCCTTTCATGATTGACTTTGACCAATTTTTCTATTTATTTTACTATTTTATAAAAATTGAGGAGTTAAATCTAATGGGAACGGGAATGTTACATAACTATTAAAATTGAATCAAGTTGAGATTCATAATCTTTCACCATTCATTTAGCTTGATTTTGTAGGGATTAATGCAGTAGTTTTGATTCGAGCTAAGTAAAGTGAGTTTTGGGGCTTAATAACTAGAACATCAATAACAAAATTAGTCATGTACAGTGTTTAATTGAAGAGATTCTTGTGCCCCTCATTTAAACACGACTATATGCCACATAGAGAACAAATGAATGAACATAAAGAACAAATGAACGAACGATCAAAGGATCCACAATTATTCCTTTATCATGAACTTAACCATAAGGAAAAGGGTTTGTACGGGTATATAGTATCATGAACTTAACCGAGTCACTAACTAATCTCTAATAGTAGACCACTATTGAATGATATTTCCCATAACGTTCCAGTTGCTCGATGGTAGGATCTAGTTATAGTTGGCTCTAGCAGATGCATGACACATGGATAGATGACACAAGCAATATCACTTAACACATTTGTAATGCTATTATAATAATAATAATAATAATAATAAAAATAATAAAAATAATAAAAACAAAGTCGGTCAAAGTCAAAGGGGCAAAATGGGCATTTTACCCCTCAACTCTCCACAGAGGACCTGCAAAAGAGAAAAGTGTGAGAAAGAAATTTGGGAGAAAACCTGAGAGGGAAAGGTAAATCGTCGGAGTCCTTGTCAGAGAATCACCAACGAAATTCATCCTCTACTGAGACTTACACTCTGGAGTTTCTTCTTGGAGAGAAGAAAGACTCGTGTTGTTGAGGTTCCTTCTTTCGTCAAGATCCGAGAGAAATTCGCAAGGTAAGATCTCGAGCGTTATTGTTTAGATCTGAGATCTTCATTTGGGAATAGAGTGTTAAAGTTTATTATCTTCATCTAGGGAAGATCCGCCACTGATTTTGTGAGGAAATCAGACGAAATGTCGAGATCTGAGAATCTATCAGAGAACGATAAGGATGTTATCGGACCTCTTTCCGACGCTCATAACTCGTCGTATGATTAAGTAAAAATCAAGAAAAAATATTGGCACGTAGGTTGTAGTATGATCTAAAACTTTGTTGAAGAAGTTAGTAGGTTTAGATTAAGAATTGAGAGATCAAAAAATGAGAAGAACGTCGAAAAACTAATCGAAAACCTTGTTTTTCTACTAAGAGGAGAGAGAAGACGGCGGCGCGCCACGTGTCAACCGGCAAGAGGATTGCGTGCACCAACTACCATCGGACATGCGTCGAATGCCACCTGGGGAGACGCGGCTCCAGCCTTCTAGCGACACGCATCCGCAACCACGTAACTCGGCCCCCATCCCTCGGCTGACCCGGTACCCGTGCGACGAAACGAACCGTGGCGAACCGTGGTCCACCCAAACCACTGCACACGAACCGAACCGACGACCCATGGTTGCAAAAAATCGTGGGCGCGTGACACTCGCGCGTGGAACCTGCGAGTGACTTTGTTCCAGCGCGTGGAAGCGCGTGTAAACCCGTTTTCATCCCGTTTGACTCCTATTTTCCTCCCGAATCCAATCCTAACTCTATTTTATATGAAATAGGATCTAATTGAAGAAAAATTACCACTTTTTGATATGCTAATTGTGTAGAAACGCTGCGTAAGAGCACACATCATCCAGGTAAGTCACCATAAGGAACTTTAGGGAGAAATACTTGTAGGAGTCGCTTGGAATGCATGCATGCTAGTTTGATTATCTTAAGGAGTCGCTTGGAATGCATCCATGCTAGTTTGATTATCTTATGTGGTAGCTTCCCGTGATTGAATGTAGGTATTTGATTGTTATGAGTAAGGATGTATTATGTGATATATTATGAGAATTATCTGTGTATTGCTATTATGTTTTAAGCTTCCGCTTTATATGTAAATGATTAATTCATGCTGAAAGGAGGATGGGAACATGTGAACTCTACGCTCCGGGAGCTTGAGGGATGTTATCGCCTCGTTGAGCATGTGTTTATTTTGCATGAATTATGTATGATGATGTTGAATGATAGTTGTGTGCACACTCCATAGGTATAGTAAAGTCTAGGGATTTGTGGTTAGAGTGACAAGTCACTAAGGTATAGACCTAACCTTTCCCCTAGTAGTGTAACAGACCACCATAGCACACGAACCCTCACTAGAGTGATTGGTGTCATAGCTTCGTGGGGGACTAGGGGGTTCCTAATCAAAATCCGACTGCTCTTAGCTGTTTTAGCATGGAAAACATGTGCCTGCGTCGTATAGACCATTTAGCTTGATGGGTTAAGGAGGGCAACTCTCCCCGACCAGGAGGATTATCATGGGCCTAAGGGGTTGCAACTCACTTCCTAGGTAAGATACCAGATAGTCCAGAGTCATGCCGAGGTAGCTACTCGAAGGGCACCAATCATTACACAGGTCGGCATAAGGGAACTCTTAAGGATTTTTAAATGAAAGGACAAAGAACCAAGAAGCCGTAAGAGGAACTGCAGAGGAGCTAAAACGAAAACTAGATGTCCTAGAGCTAAATAGAGTCTGTGGGAGTTTGTTAAGATTAGGATGCGATAAGGGCCTACAAGTAGGTGGCTTACTGAGTATAATTTTATACTCATTCTTGCTATACTTTTCTTTTTTAGGTACGTGAGGCGTCAGGTCAAGAGAGGGCGCGTTGAACGATGTGGGTTGTCACAAAGGAAGCGTGTCCCGGGGCATTAGTCCAGTCTTACTGATTAGTACACTTTTTCCTTCATGTTTTCTTTCCTGTCTATAACTAGTCACATATGTCCTCTTTGTATTGAAACACTTTTCTTACGAAAGAAACAATTCATATTTTTTTAAATAATGTTTTCCTTTGAATTTCTTGCATACACGCTACACGTCATAGTCATTGTTACAACTTGAGGTTAATTTTTTTGGGGTCATGACAAATTTGGTATCAGAGCACCAGGGCATAGGTTCGGTAGACACTTAGGTTAGAGAGTCATATCCTCTATGACGCGCCCATCAATCACGTGCCGCTCGCAACCAGACAGTCTCACAAATTTGAATTGCGAAATTAAGAGCTAAGTTGTTAAGTAGAAAATTTATCATGATTGCTTTCCTGTGTTATACTGCACATTTCCTAGAGGTTGAGCTTTGAATGAATTGTAACCGCAATTTTTCTATTGTGGTAGCTAAATAGCACCAAAGAGATGTAGAACTTACCTCGGGCCTAGACCTAGAAGGGGAAGAAGAAGAGTCGCTCAGGACACTGATGTTCCGTCACCTAAGGTGGAACAACCTATACCCGAACCTCAAGAGGAGGTTGATGAAATGCCCCAATGGTTCGAAAGTCCTATACCACGGGCACTAAGATCAGGAATGAGTCAAAAGAGAGCAATGACTCAAGACTTACCCGACGCAGACTCTACTGCTCCTTCTCCTGAGGCGATCCCACTGGTGCCCACCAATAATGTAAAGGTTCCACCTAATCAGCCAACAACTAACCTCACTACAAATGTACTACAACCATTCATGTGTAACCTCTATGGAAAACCAGACTCAGATGATGTAGACACTGGTCACTAACCAGGCTACAATGCAACAGGCAGCAATGCAACAGATAGCATTGCAAGGGACCAGAGACTCTATGACTATGACTGTAGAGTCTCGTTATCTGAAAGACTTCTAGAGTCAAAACTTGCCTTCCTTTGAAGGTGGTAAAATAAATCCCATTGTAGTAGAAAACTAGCTCGAGGCTATGAAAACAGACTTCTTTTATATGAATTGTCCGCTGGAATATCAGGTTCATTGTGAAACTTATATGTTGAAGGGAGAGACTCATTTCTGGTGGATGGGTGCTAAAAAAATATGATTACACCGCTTGAAGAGTCTATTTCTTGGTTTTAGTTCAAAGAGGCCTACCTCCGCAAATACAATCCAGTTACTGTAGAATGAAGCTGCAGGCAGCATTTCATGAACTCAAGCAGGGTGACCAATCTGTGGAGGATTATGATATGGAATTCAATAGATTGACAAGATTCTCTCCTATATATGTCAATACTGAAGAGCTTAAGGCTGAACGTTTTATTGTCGGTCTAAGAGAGAAGATTAAAGGTTATGTGGCATCTCAGGCATCCACAGATTATACAGCAGCCCTTAAGTTGATGACCCTCATTGATGCGCCTCCTACTGACAAATTACAGTCAGGGTCAGCCCAAAAATCCCATATCGCAGTTCAGGAAAACAGATAAACTGGAACTATCCCAGGACTGACAGACCACCCCGTGGTGGCACTGCCAATCACGGAAGAGCCCCAGCACATTACAGGACTAATTGCCCTCCGTGTTAGGTCCTCACAAGGGGGAGTGTCGTGCTGGAACTAATGCATGTTTCAGTTGTGGCCAAACAGGGCACTATGCAACGGACTGTCCTCAGATGAGAGATCAGAACACTAATCGACCTGTAATACAAAATCAAAGGGGCCGGGATGCCCAACAGCAGCAGGGGCAAGCTGTAGCCCATGCAACCACAGGCAAGCAAGTCGACGCACCTGACGCAGTTGTTACAGGTACACTACCCGTTTTTGGTCATTTAGATTTTGTACTATTTGATTCGAGTTCTATACACTCGTTTGTGTCTGAGGAATTCGTTGACTTAGCACACCTAGAAAAAGAACCCTTAGAGATCATCCTATCAGTGTCCACCCCTACTCACGAGCTATTAATGGCTACTCATAGAGTTAAGGAAGATAGTGTGACAGTGTCCGGACGTGTTATAAAAGCTACTTTAATAGTATTAAGTATGCAGGACTTTGATGTCATTTTAGGTATGGATTGACCAGGCATGAATCGCGCTCTAATAGATTGTGAAACTCGAATAGTTACTCTCTGACTCCCGTCAGGGGATAGTTTTACATATAAGGGGGTCACTTCCAAAAGAACCCCAAACGTCATAACTGCACTAAAGGCTAGAAAGATGATCCGCAGTGGTGCAAACGCATTTTTAGCCAGTGTGACCCTAGACAGCGGAAATGAATAGACAGACTCGTCAGTACACATTGTCAGGGAATTCATTGATGTTTTCCCTGAGGATTTGCCAAGTTTGCCCCCAGTTAGGGAAGTTGACTTTAGGATCAACCTAGAACCAGGAGCTGCGCCGATCTCCAAGGCACCCTACAGAATGACACCTGCAGAACTTAGGGAATTGAAAGAACAGTTACAGGAGCTATTGGATAAGAGTTTCATACGACCTAGTGTGTCACCATAGAGAGCTCCTCTTCTGTTTGTCAATAAGAAGAATGGATCTCTGCATCTGTGTATAGACTATAGAGAACTGAACAAGGTCACCATAAAGAATAAGTACCCCCTCCAGAGAATCGACGACTTGTTTGATCAATTGTAGGGAGCGACGGTATTCTCCAAAATTGACTTGAGATTAGGATATCATCAATTGAGAATAAGAGAAGAAGATATACCCAAAACGGCCTTCAAAAGTCGCTATGGACATTATGAGTTTCTCGTCATGTCCTATGGCCTTACCAATGCACCAGCCGTCTTCATGGAACTAATGAACAGGGTGTTTAAGGAATTTTTAGACACTTTTGTTATAGTGTTTATTGATGATATTTTGGTGTACTCTAAGTCAGAAATAGAGCACGAAGAGCATTTGAGGGAAGTTCTGACCGTGCTGAGAACGCAGCAACTGTACGCCAAGTTTTCCAAGGGTGAGTTTTGGCTATCTGAGGTAGCGTTTTTGGGTCATGTGGTGTCAAGTAGAGGAATCACAGTGGACCCAGCTAAGATAGAGGCAGTGATGAAGTGGCCAAGGCAGACCACAGTCACTGAAGTACGGAGTTTTCTAGGACTAGTTAGATATTACAGAAGGTTTGTCCAAGATTTCTCTAAAATATCTTCGGCATTAACTCAGTTAACCAAGAAGGGTAAGCCGTTTGTGTGGACATCAGCTTGCAAACAGAGTTTCCAGGAACTCAAAGAGAGGTTGGTGACAACACCAGTCCTCACAGTTCTAGATGGTTCAGGGAATCTAGTGGTGTACAGTGACGCACTAGGAAAAGGTTTAGGATGCGTGCTCAGGCAGAAGGGTAAGATGATAGCTTATGCTTCTAAACAACTGAAGGAATATGAATGAAATTATCCCACTCATGATCTCAAGTTAGCAACAGTGGTGTTTGCACTGAAAACATGACGACATTATCTGTATGGAGAGAAAATCCAAGTATTCACTAATCACAAGAGCCTCAAGTACCTATTTACACAGAAGGAGCTTAACATGAGACAGAGGAGATGGTTGGAACTAGTAAAGGATTATGACATCGAGATCCAGTACCATCCAGGCAAGGCCGATGTTGTGGCGGACGCATTGAGCAGAAAGGCTATTCATACTTCCGCGATGATCACCAAGCAAGAAAGAATACAGGATGAGATGAAGAGGGCTGGAATCGATGTTGTAATTAGTGGTGGTACTGCTCAGATAACACAGATGACCGTGCAACCCACCTTGCGAAAACGAATTATTGACGCTCAGAGGTCTGATGAACACCTTGGGAAAGTGTGGAATCAGACAGAGACCGAAAGACCAGTAGGGTACTCTATCTCTTCAGACGGAGCCCTGCTGTGGAAAAACCGCCTGTGTGTTCCTCGTGACAAGAAAATTCTGAAGGAGATTATGATGGAAGCTCACGATACTTCTTACACGTTTCACCCTGGAAGTACAAAAATGTATCAGGATCTTAAGGGATATTATTTGTGGCCAGGGATGAAGAAGGATATAGCAGATTTTGTAAGTCGATGCTTGACCTGTCAGCAGGTGAAGGCCCCAAGACAGCTCCCAGCAGGACTGCTACAATCCTTAAAGGTCCCTCAGTGGAAATGGGAAGTAGTTTGTATGGATTTTATGTCGTGCTTGCCCAAGACCAAGTAGAGCTTCAACATAATTTGGGTAGTGGTTGATATACTTACCAAAATGGCTCACTTCATCCTAGGAAAATCCACTTATCGTGTGGATCGGTGGGCTCAACTGTATATCAGAGAGATAGTACGCCTGCATGGTGTATCGGTGTCCATAGTATCTGATCGGGACACTAGGTTCACCTCTCAGTTTTGGAAAAGCCTCCAAAAATCATTGGGGACTCAGCTAAGGTTTAGTACAACATTTCATCCTCAGACGGACGGACAGACCGAAAGACTGAACCAAATCTTAGAAGATATGTTGCGAGCCTATGTCATAGATTTCACTGGGTGCTAGGACGAACATCTACCTCTGATAGAGTTTGCTTACAATAATAGCTATCAAGCTACCATCCAAATGGACCCTTTTGAGGCACTATATGGGCGTAGGTATCAAAACCGGTATTTTGGGAAGAAGTAGGCACGCAACAACTACTGGGACCAGAGTTGGTTTAGGTCACCAACGCAGTAGTGTAGAAAATTAAGCAAAGAATCCTCACTGCATAGAGCCGACAGAAGAGCTATGCGAATTTGCGTAGAAGGGACCTCGAGTTCAAGGTGGGTTGTTAAATAAAAGTCATGCCTTATTTAGTTAGGTTTGTAAAAATATCTAAATTCACGCAATGGAGGAGCGTGATTCTAGGGACCATTGTTTTGGCAATTTGGGCGAAGTCTTCGTCCACTTCTTCTATTTTTGTATAATTGGTTTTTCTATTTTTGTAATTAGATTTGTTATTTAAACTGTTCAACTGAAGTAAAATAAAATATCGAGTCTTCAGCAATCTCAGCGAATCTCTCACTCTCTCTCCTTTTACTTCCGCTAAATTTTTTCTTTGAAGAAACCTTCGGCCAATTTTTCGTCGACACTGTCTTTCGAATTGCCAGTGTCAACAAGTGGTATCAGAGCCTCGTTGAAGCGATCGGTAGTATACTATCACAGAAGAGCCATCTTATCAACAATCAAGTTGAATAGCTCAAGTGGCTAGAGTGTCAACCTAACAACACACAGGTCTCAGGTTCGAGTAGAAGAAAATGCAAAGCGCAAAAATAAATACATCGTTGGGGTTTGTCTCGAGCAGGCTCGCTCACTCCTCCAGGCCGCCAAGTGCCGGCATCTCCATCATCACCACCACAATGAGGCCGGCCCGGCATCTCCATCATCACCACCACAAAGAGGCCGGCCCGGCATCTCCATCATCACCACCACAAAGAGGCCACAACGAGTGGGCCTTGTTGATGCGTGAAAACCATTATGTTCGTCAGTAAGGGAGGCGAGCATCGCAACCTTATGAGCCTAGGTCAACTCGATGAGACAGGTTGCTTCATTTCCATCGAGCGCGAACTACTCAAAATCTGCGATAACCAACGACGGCTGCTCACGCAGGCAAGGAGCACGACAAACCGTCTTTACATCCTGGAGTTACAGATAGACCAACCCGTCAACCTCTCGGCCAAGACCGAAGAGGTATCTTGGAGGTGGCACGCAAGGTACGGGCACTTAAACTTTCCTGCCCTAGAAAAGCTACAAAAGAAGGAGTTGGTGCACGGTTTGCCAGCAATCAAAGGCGTGACCAAGCTGTGCGACGGGTGCCTCATTGGCAAACAGAGGCGCACACCCTTTCCGTCTCGAACCTCCTACCGAGCCGATGAGCCGTTGGAACTTGTACACGGCGATATCTGCGGGCCCATCAAGCCGGCGACCCCAGACGGTAAGAGTCTCTTCCTCCTGGTAGTCGATGACAAAAGCCGCTTCATGTGGCTGACCCTGCTGCAAACGAAAAGTGAGGCGGTTAAGCGCATTAAAGCGCAAGCGGAGGCCAATGTGAGAAGAAGATGCGAGTGCTGCGCACAGACCGAGGCGGAGAATTCACCTCGGCAAGTTTCAGTAAGTATTGCGACGAGATCGGCATACAACGGTGCCGTGCAAGCTGACCGACGTCTACCTCATCCCGAGGCTCAAGGCTAACCTTATGAGCCTGGGTCAACTCGATGAGACAGGTTGCTTCATTTCCATCGAGCGCAAACTACTCAAAATCTGCGATAACCAACGACGGCTGCTCACGCAGGCAAGGAGCACGACAAACCGTCTTTACATCCTGGAGTTACAGATAGACCAACCCGTCAACCTCTCGGCCAAGACCGAAGAGGTATCTTGGAGGTGGCACGCAAGGTACGGGCACTTAAACTTTCCTGCCCTAGAAAAGCTACAAAAGAAGGAGTTGGTGCACGGTTTGCCAGCAATCAAAGGCGTGACCAAGCTGTGCGACGGGTGCCTCATTGGCAAACAGAGGCGCACACCCTTTCCGTCTCGAACCTCCTACCGAGCCGATGAGCCGTTGGAACTTGTACACGGCGATATCTGCGGGCCCATCAAGCCGGCGACCCCAGACGGTAAGAGTCTCTTCCTCCTGGTAGTCGATGACAAAAGCCGCTTCATGTGGCTGACCCTGCTGCAAACGAAAAGTGAGGCGGTTAAGCGCATTAAAGCGCAAGCGGAGGCCAATGTGAGAAGAAGATGCGAGTGCTGCGCACAGACCGAGGCGGAGAATTCACCTCGGCAAGTTTCAGTAAGTATTGCGACGAGATCGGCATACAACGGTGCCGTGCAAGCTGACCGACGTCTACCTCATCCCGAGGCTCAAGGCTAACCTTATGAGCCTGGGTCAACTCGATGAGACAGGTTGCTTCATTTCCATCGAGCGCAAACTACTCAAAATCTGCGATAACCAACGACGGCTGCTCACGCAGGCAAGGAGCACGACAAACCGTCTTTACATCCTGGAGTTACAGATAGACCAACCCGTCAGCCTCTCAGCCAAGACCGAAGAGGTATCTTGGAGGTGGCACGCAAGGTACGGGCACTTAAACTTTCCTGCCCTAGAAAAGCTACAAAAGAAGGAGTTGGTGCACGGTTTGCCAGCAATCAAAGGCGTGAACAAGCTGTGCGACGGGTGCCTCATTGGCAAACAGAGGCGCACACCCTTTCCGTCTCGAACCTCCTACCGAGCCGATGAGCCGTTGGAACTTGTACACGGCGATATCTGTGGGCCCATCAAGCCGGCGACCCCAGACGGTAAGAGTCTCTTCCTCCTGGTAGTCGATGACAAAAGCCGCTTCATGTGGCTGACCCTGCTGCAAACGAAAAGTGAGGCGGTTAAGCGCATTAAAGCGCAAGCGGAGGCCAAATGTGAGAAAAAGATGCGAGTGCTGCGCACAGACCGAGGCGGAGAATTCACCTCAGCAAGTTTCAGTAAGTATTGCGACGAGATTGGCATACAACGGTGCCGTGCAAGCTGACCGACGTCTACCTCATCCCGAGGCTCAATGCTAACCTTATGAGCCTGGGTCAACTCGATGAGACAGGTTACTTCATTTTCATCGAGCGCGAACTACTCAAAATCTACGATAACCAACGACGGCTGCTCACGCAGGCAAGGAGCACGACAAACCGTCTTTACATCCTGGAGTTAGAGATAGACCAACCCGTCAGCCTCTCGGCCAAGACCGAAGAGGTATCTTGGAGGTGGCACGCAAGGTACGGGCACTTAAACTTTCCTGCCCTAGAAAAGCTACAAAAGAAGGAGTTGGTGCACGGTTTGCCAGCAATCAAAGGCGTGAACAAGCTGTGCGACGGGTGCCTCATTGGCAAACAGAGGCGCACACCCTTTCCGTCTCGAACCTCCTACCGAGCCGATGAGCCGTTGGAACTTGTACACGGCGATATCTGCGGGCCCATCAAGCCGGCGACCCCAGACGGTAAGAGTCTCTTCCTCCTGGTAGTCGATGACAAAAGCCGCTTCATGTGGCTGACCCTGCTGCAAACGAAAAGTGAGGCGGTTAAGCGCATTAAAGCGCAAGCGGAGGCCAAATGTGAGAAAAAGATGCGAGTGCTGCGCACAGACCGAGGCGGAGAATTCACCTCAGCAAGTTTCAGTAAGTATTGCGACGAGATTGGCATACAACGGTGCCGTGCAAGCTGACCGACGTCTACCTCATCCCGAGGCTCAATGCTAACCTTATGAGCCTGGGTCAACTCGATGAGACAGGTTACTTCATTTTCATCGAGCGCGAACTACTCAAAATCTACGATAACCAACGACGGCTGCTCACGCAGGCAAGGAGCACGACAAACCGTCTTTACATCCTGGAGTTAGAGATAGACCAACCCGTCAGCCTCTCGGCCAAGACCGAAGAGGTATCTTGGAGGTGGCACGCAAGGTACGGGCACTTAAACTTTCCTGCCCTAGAAAAGCTACAAAAGAAGGAGTTGGTGCACGGTTTGCCAGCAATCAAAGGCGTGAACAAGCTGTGCGACGGGTGCCTCATTGGCAAACAGAGGCGCACACCCTTTCCGTCTCGAACCTCCTACCGAGCCGATGAGCCGTTGGAACTTGTACACGGCGATATCTGCGGGCCCATCAAGCCGGCGACCCCAGGCGGTAAGAGTCTCTTCTTCCTGGTAGTCGATGACAAAAGCCGCTTCATGTGGCTGACCCTGCTGCAAACGAAAAGTGAGGCGGTTAAGCGCATTAAAGCGCAAGCGGAGGCCGAATGTGAGAAGAAGATGCGAGTGCTGCGCACAGACCGAGGCGGAGAATTCACCTCGGCAAGTTTCAGTAAGTATTGCGACGAGATCGGCATACAACGGCACCTAACGGCGCCTTACCTCCCCCCAACAAGAACGGAGTGGTAGAGCGCCAAAATCAGACCATTGTCAGGACAGCGAGGTCATTGTTGGTGACGGCCGGGATGCCTGGGAGATTCTGGGGAGAGGCAGTAATGACGGCTGTCTATCTCCTCAATCGGTCACCAGCCCGAAGCCTCGACGGGAAGACGCCATATGAGGCCTAGTACAACAAAAAACCAATAGTACATCATTTCCGCGTGTTCGGCTGCGTCGCATACATGAAGGTAACACATCCCCACCTCGCCAAGCTCGATCCAAGGGGGCTGAAGGTCGTCTTCATCGGCTACGAACCCGAGAGCAAGGCGTACAGACTCTATGATCCTGTAGGGGGGCGAGCTCACGTGTCTCGCGACGTCGTCTTCGACGAAAGCACCTTCTGGCAGTGGAATGACGTGAGCAAGGCAGACCGTAATCCAAATCAATTCACGATGGAGTACCTTGTCACCAAGCCTGAAGAAGGAGGAGCCCAACATCAGGAGACGTCACCGCCACCAGCAGGTGCACCACCTGAACCAGTGGAATTCTCAACACCACAGACTGCGGATTCGACGCTGGATGCCGATCACGATACTGATTTGGAGGCCAGGTATCGGAGGATGGATGACCTAGTGGGAGGAGGTGAACCACCTGGACTGGCAGCGCATGAGCTCGAAGAAGTGGCCGAACTACATGCCATCAGTACAGATGAACCGAACACCTTCGCCGAAGCAGAAAAGAACCCATGCTGGCTGAAGGCAATGCAGGAGGAGATGACATCCATCACCGAGAACCAGACGTGGAGTCTGGAGGATATGCCGCTGGGACACCGAGCCATAGGGCTCAAATGGGTCTTCAAACTGAAGCGCAACAAAAAAGGAGAAGTTGTGAAGCACAAGGCCCGTCTGATGGCGAAGGGCTACGTCCAGAAGCAAGGAGTGGACTTCGAAGAGGTATTTGCGCCAGTAGCAAGGTTAGAATCCGTTCGTTTCTTGCTGGCAATTGCGGCACATTACTCTTGGGAGGTTCACCATATGGACGTAAAGTCTACTTTCCTTAACGAAGAGTTGAAGGAGACCATCTATGTTCGACAACCACCTGGCTTCCTAGACAACGACAACCCTAATAAGGTACTGCGCCTGCACAAAGCACTCTACAGGCTTCGACAAGCCCCACGAGCCTGGAACGCGAAGCTTGATAGTACCCTACTGTCACTGAAATTCAAACGTTGTGCCTCTAAGCATGGCATGTACACGCACGGCCACGGCAAGAAGCGACTGATCGTGGGAGTGTACGTCGACGACCTCATAATCACTGGAGGCGACTTGGTAGTCCTCGGAAGGTTCAAGAAAGAGATGTCGAAAAACTTCGAGATGAGCGATCTCGGCGTGCTCAGCTACTACCTCGGCATCGAAGTGCAACAGAACTCTTCCGGCATCTCCATCTGCCAAAGTGCATATGCGAAGAAGTTGCTGGACACAACTGGGCTTGTGGACAGTAATCCTACCAGGACGCCAATGGAGGCCCGACTCCAACTAAGGAAGGCCGGCACTACAACGACAGTTGACTCCACCAATTACCGCAGCATTGTTGGGAGTCTGCGCTATCTGGTAAACTCTCGTTCTGATCTTGCTTATTTTGTTAGATTTGTGAGCAGGTTTATGGAAGCACCTAGGGAGGAGCATCTAGTGGCTGTCAAGCGCATCCTGCGCTATGTAGCCGGAACCAGAGGCTGGGGCGTAAGATACTGCGCAGGGAGCGGAAAGAAGAAACTCAAGCTGGTCGGCTACAGTGATAGTGACATGGCCGGTGACGTTGATGATCGTAAGAGCACCAGCGGAATGATCTACTTTCTCTCAGGCGGTGCGATCTGCTGGCAATCAACAAAACAGAAGGTAATTGCTTTGTCTTCCTGCGAAGCATAATACATCGTCGCTTCGATGGCAGCAACACAAGGGATCTGGCTTGCACGACTAATGGAAGAACTCATCGGGAGAGAAAGCGATCCACCAATGCTATACGTAGACAACAAAGCTACGATCTCCCTGATAAAAAATCCAGTTTTGCACGACTGGAGCAAGCACATAGAAATCAGATTCCACTACATTCGAGAATGTGCAGATCGAGGGCTCATCAAGATTGATTTCATCCGAACATAGGAACAACTTGGAGACATTTGAAGAACTACGCTCAAAGATCGGAGTTCAAATAATAAGGTAGAGCTTTTAGGAGGAGATTGTTAAATAAAAGCCATGCCTTATTTAGTTAGGTTCGTAAAAAATATATGAATTCACGCGAATGGAGAAGCGTGATTCTAGGGGCCATTGTTTTGGCAATTTGGGCGAAGTCTTCGTCCACTTCTTCTATTTTTGTATAATTAGTTTTTCTATTTTTGTAATTAGATTTGTTATTTAAACCGTTCAACTGAAGTAAAATAAAATATCGAGTCTTCAGCAATCTCAGCGAATCTCTCACTCTCTCTCCTTTTACTTCCGCTAAATTTTTTCTTCGAAGAAACCTTCGGCCAATTTTTCATCAACACTGTCTTCCGAATTGCCAGAGTCAACATGGGCGACCATGTGTTCTTGAAGGTTGCCTCTATGAGGGGGTGATGAGGTTTGGAAAGAAGGGAAAGTTAAGCCCAAGGTTTATATGCCCTTTCGAGATTTTAGAGAGAGTTGGGGTCGTGGCTTATAGGATTGCTCTACCACCAAACCTTGCCGTCGTTCACAACATATTCCACGTGTCTATGCTGCAAAAGTACACCCCAAACCCTACTCATGTGATTGAACACGAAACCCTTCCTCTTCGGGAAGATTTGTCCTACGAGGAAAGACTTAGTAGAATTCTAGCTTGAGACACTAAGCGACTGCGCAACAAAGTTATCCCCTTGGTGAAAGTCGCATGAGGTAACCATCGAAACAATGAGGCAACCTGGAAATAAGAAGATGATGTAAGGAGAGCTTATCCCGAACTCTTCTAAGAGATACCAACTTTCGGGGACAAAAGTTTCTAAGGAGGGGAGAGTTTGTAATGCTAAATAATAATAATAATAATAATATAAAATAAGTCGATCAAAGCAAAAGGGAAAAATGGGCATTTTACCCCTCAGCCCATTATAGGGGTCTTGAGGGTTCTCCAGAGAGTACCTGCAAAAGAGAAGTGTGAGAAAGAAAGTTGAGAGAAAACTTGAGAGGGAAAGGTAATCGCCGAAGTCCTCGTTGGAGAATTACCAACGAAATTCATCCTCTACCGAGACTTACACTCTGGAGTTTCTTCTTGAAGAGAAGAAAGACTCGTGTTGTTGAGGTTCCTTCTTTCGTCAAGATTCGAGAGAAATCTGCAAGGTAAGATCTTGAACGTTACTTTTCAAATCTGAGATCTTCGTTTGGGAATAGAGTGTTAAAGTTTACTATCTTCATCTAGGGAAGATCCGCTACTGATTTTGTGAGGAAATCGGATGAAACATCGAGATCTGAGAATCTTTCCAAGAATGGTAAGGATGTTATCGGACCTCTTTCACACGCTCATAACTCGATGTATGATTAAGTAAAAATCAAGAAAAAATATTGGCACGTAGGTTGTAGTAAGATCTAAAAATTTGTTGAAAAAGTCATTATGGTTTGGATTAAGAATCGAGAGATAGAAAAATAAGAAGAACGTCGGAAAACTAATCAGAAACCTTGTTTTTCTACTAGGAGGAGAGAGAAGACGACGGCGTGCCACGTGTCAACCGGCAAGAGGACCGCGTGCGCCAACAACCATTGGACACACGTCAAACGCCGCTGGGGAGACGCGGCTCCAGCCTTCCAGCGACACGCGTCCCTGGCCACGCAACCCGACCTGCGTCCATCGGCTGGCCTGGTACCTGCGCGACGAAACGAATTGCGGTGACCCGCAGTCCACCCAAACCACTGCACGCGAATCGAACCGACGATCCGCGGCTGCAAAAAATCATGGGTGTGTGACACTCGCGCGTGGAACCTGCGAGTGACTTTGTCCAGGCACGTGGCTGACGCGTGGAAGTGCGTGTAAGCCCGTTTTCATACCGTTCGACTCCTATTTTCTCTATTTTCTTCCCAAATCCAATCCTAACTCTATTTTATATGAAATAGGATCTAATTGAAGAAAAGTCACTACTTTTTGATACGCTAATTGTGTGGAAACGCTGCGTAAAGGCACGCATCATCTAGGTAAGTCACCACAAGGAACTTTAGGGAGAAATACTTGTAGGAGTCACTTGGAATGCATGCATGCTAGTTTGATTATCTTAAGGAGTCGCTTGGAATGCATGCATGCTAGTTTGATTATCTTATGTGGTAGCCTCCCGTGATTGAATGTAATGTAGGTATTTGATTGTTATGAGTAAGGATGTATTATGTGATATATTATGAGAATTATCTGAGTATTGCTATTATGTTTGAAGCTTCCGCTTTATATGTAAATGATTAATTCATGCTGAAAGGAGGATGAGAACTTGTGAACTCTGCGCTTCGGGAGCTTGAGGGTGTTATTGTCTCGTTGAGCATGTGTTTATTTTGCATGAATTTGGTATGATGATGTTGAATGATAGTTGTGTGCACACTCAGTTAATTTCCATGACCCACAGGTATGGTAAAGTCTAGAGATTTGTGGTTAGAGTGACAAGTCACTAAGGTATAGACTTAACCTTTCCCCTAGTAGTGTAACAGACCACCACGACATACGAACCCTTACTAGAGTGCCCTTAGGCTACATGTGTGTGATTGGTGTCATAGCTTCGTGGGGGACCAGGGGGTTCCTGATCAGAATCCGACCGCTCTTAGCCATTTTAGCATGGAAAACATGTGCCCACGTCGTATAGACCATTTAGCTTGATGGGTTAAGGAGGGCAACTCTCCCCGACCAGGGGGATTATCATGGGCCTAGGGAGTTGTAACTCACTTCCTAGGTAAGATACCAGATAGTCTCAGAGTCATGCCGAGGTAGCTACTCGTAGGGCACCAGTCATTACACAGGTCGGCATAAGGGAACTCTTAAGGATTTTTAAATGAAAGGATAAAGAACCAAAAAGCCACAAGGGGAACAGCAAAGGAGCTAAAACGAAAACTAGATGTCCTAGAGCTAAAGTAGAGTCTGTGGGAGTTTGTTAAGATTAGGATGCGATAAGGGCCTACAAGTAGGTGACTTACTGAGTATAATTTTATACTCATTCTTGCTATACTTTTCTTTTTCAGGTACGTGAGGCGTCAGGTCAAGAGAGGACGTGTTGAACGATGTGGGTTATCACAAAGGAAGCGTGTCTTGGGGCGTCAATCCAATCTTACTGATTAGTCCACTTTGTCCTTCATGTTTTCTTTCCTTGTCTAGAACTAGTCACATATGTCCTCTTTGTATTGAAACGCTTTCCTTACAAAAGAAACGATTCATTTTTTTTGAAATAATATTTTCCTTTGAATTTCTTGCATACATGCTACACGTCATAGTCATTGTTAGTCACAATTTGAGGTTAATTTTTTTAGGGTCGTGACAAATTTGGTATCAGAGCACTAGGACATAAGTTCTGTAGACACTTAGGTTAGAGAGTCGTATCCTCTGTGACACGCCCATCAATCACGTGCCGCTCGCGACCAGACAGTCTCACGAATTTGAATTTCGAAATTAAGAGCTAAGTTATTAAATAGAAAATTTATCATGACTGCTTTCCTGTGTTATACTGCACATTCCCTAGAGATCAAGCTTTAAATGAATTGTTACCGCAATTTTTCTATTGTGGTAGCTAAATGGCACCAAAGAGATGTAAAACCTACCTCGGGCTTGGACCTAGAAGGGGAAGAAGAAGAGTCGCTGAGGACACTAATGTTCTGTCACCTGAGGCGGAACAACCTGTACCTGAACCTCAAGAGGAGGTTGATGAAATGCTCCAATGGTTCGAGAGTCCTATATCACGGGCACCAAGATCAGGAATGAGTCAAAAGAGAGAAATGACTCAAGACTTACCCGACGCAGACTCTACTGCTCCTTCTCTTGAGGCGGTCCCACCGGTGCCCACCAATAATGTAGAGGTTCCACCTAGTCAGCCAACAACTAACCTCACTACAGATGTACTACAACCATTCATGTGTAACCTCTATGGAAAATCAGACTTAGATGATGCAGACACGGGTCACTAACCAGGCTACAGTGCAACAGGCAATACAACAGGCAGCAATGCAACAGACAGCATTACAAGGGACCAGAGACTCTATGACTATGAATGTGGAGTCTTATTATTTGAAAGACTTTCATAGTCAAAACTTGCCTTCCTTTGAAGGTGGTAAAATAAATCCCGTTGTAGCAGAAAACTGGCTCGAAGCTATGAAAACAGCCTTCTTTTACATGAATTGTCCGTTGGAGTATCAGGTTCATTACGGAACTTATATGTTGAAGGGAGAGGCTCATTTCTAGTGGAGGGTGCTAAAAAAATGAATCCACCAACGCCCTATATGGGCACAAACGTGCTATGAAGAGTCGTGTTAATGAGACATCATGATATGACGAGCAGCCGTAGGGGGCCAGATTATCAAAGCCTAGAGAGTGAGGATTAGATGAATAAAATCTCAAGGGACAATTCATGTAAAAGAAGGCTGTTTTCATAGCTTCGAGCCAGTTTTATGCTACAACGGGATTTATTTTACCACCTTCAAAGGAAGGCAAGTTTTGACTATGAAAGTCTTTCAGATAATAAGACTCCACATTCATAGTCATAGAGTCTCTGGTCCCTTGTAATGCTGTCTGTTGCATTGCTGCCTGTTGTATTGCCTGTTGCACTGTAGCCTGGTTAGTGACCCGTGTCTACATCATCTAAGTCTGATTTTCCATAGAGGTTACACATGAATGGTTGTAGTACATCTGTAGTGAGGTTAGTTGTTGGCTGACTAGGTGGAACCTCTACATTATTGGTGGGCACCGGTGGGACCGCCTCAAGAGAAGGAGCAGTAGAGTCTGCGTCGGGTAAGTCTTGAGTCATTTCTCTCTTTTGACTCATTCCTCTTTTGACTCATTCCTGATCTTGGTGTAGTAGAGTATTGAATTCTCTAAGTTATTAGTCTTGAACAATTGGTGACTCATCCAAGAAGGTCAATACCCTACAAAAGCTTGTCGTGGAGCGGTAGATCTCAATAATTAGTCTTGGACAGTCAGTGAGTTATTTAGGAGGTTCAATACTCTGCAAGGACAAACGTGATTCTTAGATAACCAGTGACTTAACCAAATGGTTTAGTGCCCTACATATGTACAATATGCTCATTTTCTTTTTTCAAACGGATCATGCAACAGGTTGACAATTGAAGTATTCATCAGTCATGCAGTTATAGGAGAACAATGGATCAAAATCATGCTTTGATTTCCATGTATTTTTGTCTTATGTCTATTGGTTAGAGTCTTTTAAACCTTTCATGTCAAAACGTAGTGGTCCACAATTTGAGATCTCGAAAAGCAAGTTGTTACAAGTAACGTGGCATATACTATACAACATGTCATCTCAATTTTCACAATTTCGAAGTTATTTTTAATAGTAGGATTTGGACTTTGCTTTAATTTTGAACCACTTGGGTAATTTTATTTTTTCATGCGATATATTTATATATTATTAATTGGATTAAAAAAACAAAAAAGGAGGTCAAAGGCATCATTTAAGTTTATTTTGAGACCACACCAGATCCACACACTTGGTTCCCCTGAACTTACTTCTTCAACATTTCTGTTTATGGCTTCCAATTTTGAGAGGCTTCATTGCTATACAAGTGTCAAACAAGCGCCCATCTCCTCAGCATTCATCAATGCAACAAGGGAATAATAGGGAATAATAGGGAATAATATTGAATTCCTTCTTTCAATTACTTGGAAAATCCAAAACCCAAAAAAAAAGAAAGAAAAAACACATCGAAAATTGAATTAAATATCTTTACTAGCAAGCATGGAGCATGGAGATATTGTGAGCAAGGGCAAGGGCATGGTCTCCCATCCTTCAAGTTCCTACAAACAAATCATAATAGTTGCGGCAATTGCAGCCGGCCTCCAATTTGGTTGGGCTCTCCAGCTTTCGTTGCTCACACCTTACGTACAACAACTGGGAGTTCCACGCACATGGTCATCTTTCATATGGCTTTGCGGCCCAATGTCAGGCCTCATTGTGCAGCCCACTGTGGGATACTACAGCGATCGTTGCACCTCTAGGTTTGGGCGTCGTCGGCCCTTCATTGTTGCTGGGGCTGTCTTTGTGGCGGTTGCAGTTTTCCTCATAGGCTTCGCTGCAGACATTGGGCATTCCGCGGGGGACGAGCTTGCCAAACGCACAAAGCCAAGGGCTGTGGCCATATTCGTGGTTGGATTCTGGGTTCTTGATGTGGCTAACAACATGCTCCAAGGCCCTTGTAGGGCCCTGTTGGCAGACATGTCTTGTAACAACCACAAAAAGATGAGAGTGGCCAATGGGCTGTTCTCCTTCTTCTTGGGCGTAGGGAATGTGTTGGGGTACGCAGCTGGGGCCAATAGCCAACTCCATACACTCCTTCCATTCACAATCACCGAAGCATGCGATGTTTATTGCGCCAACCTCAAAACCTGCTTCTTGATAGACATCGTGTTTCTCCTCACGGTTACCACGTTCGCGATGTTGATGGTGGGTGAGAAGCCGTGGGAGCCCATACACATGGACGGAGAATCAACGCCCTTCTTTGTGCAGTTGATTGGTGCGCTGAAGCAGTTGTCGAGGCCCATGTGGATCCTGATGCTGGTGACAGCCTTGAATTGGGTGGGTTGGTTCCCATTTATAATGTACGACACCGACTGGATGGGTGCGGAAGTGTACGGAGGAAAGCCGAAAGGGAGTCCGGAAGAATCCAAGTTGTATGAGATGGGTGTTCGAGCAGGGGCGCTGGGGCTGATGATAAACTCCTTCGTGCTCGGGTTTTCCTCTTTGGGGATAGAGCCATTGAGCCGTATTGTAGGAGGGCTCAGGTGGGTGTGGGGAATTGTGAACATTATATTTACGGTTTGTATGGGAGGCATGGTGGTGGTTACAACGGTGGCAGAGCGTTGGAGGTCGGTTCATGGGTTGGCGCATCCGCCGCCCAACGTCAGGGCTGGAGCCTTTTCAATCTTTGCAGTGTTGGGCATTCCACTTTCGGTCACTTTCAGCGTTCCCTTTGCGCTGGCATCTATCTTTTCTTCAAATTCCAACGCGGGGCAAGGTAGGTACCAAATTCCTAACTTACTTCCTTCCCATTGGCGCTTACCTATAAATGACTAAGAAGGGGTATTTGTGTAATCTGACGTGGGACAGGGCTGTCCTTGGGAATCCTGAACCTGTTCATAGTGATCCCACAGCTTTTAGTGTCGGCAGTTAGTGGGCCCTTAGACGCAGCCTTCGGGGGAGGGAACTTACCGGCGTTCGTGATGGGTGGAATTGCGGCCTTTGCAAGCGCCATGTGTGCCATCTTCCTGCTCCCCGACCCACCACCTCAGTCTGATGTGTCCTTAACAATGGGCGGTGGCCATTGATTCTTCCACCACTCGTTCATTCTTCCAAATTTTGTATCAACTTCTTCCGTTGTTTACCAGTTAGTTAATAAAAATAGCATAATTTATCTTCAACTCTCCCCTATGTTTCCATTATAACATAACATACATGTATCCTAGAATGCCTGCATCGCAAGGACCAGGGAAATAAGCGAGAAGGGCACCTAGATTCTGACATCTATGGAAGTGAGGTTGATAATCTTAGACATCAATGACTTCAATGTTATCTTAGGGATGGATTGACTAGCCGACAACTATGCCTATATAGATTATCAGGCAAGGGATGTATCAACTAGACCACCGTCTAGAGAAAGTCTCAAGTACAAAGGGGAATGTTCAAGAGACGTCTCAAGGTTAATCTCAGCCATGAAGCAAAAAGGCTGATCAAACACAGAGCGTGAGTGTTCCTAGCCATCATCACCAAAGCTAATAAAGCAAACATCGATATATCCTCCATACTAGTAGTAAGGGACTTTTAGAATTTCTTTACAAAGGAGGCCTACCCACAGTCAGAGGGACAGACTTTGGGATCGAGTTAGAAACTCAGCCGATCTCCAAGGCCCCTTATAGAACGACTTTTTCTGAACCAAGGAACTCAAAGAACAACTGCAAGAACTATTAGTCAAAGGGTTCATAAGACCAAGTGTCTCACCATGGGGAGCTCAAATACTTTCATAAAAAAGAAAGATGGTTCCTTTCGATTGTGTAAAGACTACAGGGAGATTAACAAGGTCACAATAAAGAACAAGTACCCACTTCAATGATCGAAGACCTCTTCAATCAACTTCAAGGGGCATTAGTGTTCTCCAAATAGACTTAACGTCAAGATATCACCATCTAAGGATCAAGGAGAAAGACATACCAAAGACAACTTTCAAAAGCAGGTATGGACACTACGAGTTCACGGTGATGTCTTTTGGAGTAACTAATGCCTCTGCAGCCTTCACAAACCTAATGAACCGAGTATTCAAGGACTTCCTCGACACATTCGTAATCATCTTCATCAATGATATTCTCATTTACTTCAAGACCAAGAGGGAACATGAAACCCACCTCAAAATAGTATTGACAAGGTTACGAACCGATCAACTATGTGCTAAGTTTTTTTAAGTACGGATTTTGCTTCCTGTGGTGGCCTTTCTCGGACATTTGGTGTCAAAAGAAGGTATTTCCATAGACCCACTAAAGTTGAGGCGGTAATGAAATGGCCCCGACCAACTACGGTCAAAGAAGTTAGAAGCTTTCTAGGACTAACAAACTATTACACGAGGTTTATAAAGGACTTCTAAAAAATATTGGCACCTCTAACCCAGCTCACCAAGAAAGGAAAAACTTTCACTTGGACATCAGTATGTGAGAAGAGCTTCATGGAACTCAAGGACAAGTTGGTAACAACCCCGATCCTCACCTACCAGATAACTTAAGAAACTTTGTTATTTATAGCGACGCTTCAAGGAGAGGTCTAAGATGTATACTAATGCAAAATGGAAGAGTGATAGCATATACCTCTCACAAACTAAAAGAATATAAGTGCATTTATCCCACACATAACCTAGAGCTATCAGTCGTGGTGTTTTCTCTCAAGATGTGTCGACACTATGTATATGGAGAAAAAATACAAGTGTATATTGACTACAAGAGCATATAGTACCTTTTCACGCAAAAAAAAAAAAAAAAAAAAAAAAAAAAAAAAAAAAAAAAAAAAAAAAAA